AACGCCAATGGACAATCACTCATATGATAAGCTCCGCTCGACAAAGTCGACAGCGGAGCTAAAAATTTGAACATAGTCAGTCAAAGCATGTCAGAGATATGGCTCTAGAAGTCTATTTATGAAAACAAAATGGCCGCCAGTCATTCTGAATCGAATCTGAAAAATAAAATTATGTGCATCAGGAACCCATAATGTCTAATCTGTAAACAGCCGAGAAATGCTAGATTTTGATGATTTTTAGAACAAAAATGGCCGCCATTCGGCCATCTTGATTCAGATCGTGAAACAAATTGATGTGCATATGTATAATATCATGTATGTGTGAAGTTTAATTGTGATTGGTCCAGGCATTTCTAAGATACAGGTCCGGACGCACGGATGGACTCACATATGCACGGAGGTCAAAACATAAGTCCCTGTTTTCGGACTGCGTCCTGAAGGCAGAAAGCAAAATTAACTATTTTGCTGTCAAAGCTATTTCGCGTTCAACCCTTGTTTTACAGTGAGGCAATTAACAGTTATTATTTTTAAAGAAAGTTTATAAGCATCACAACAGACTGCAAGAAAGTCAACTGTTTTTGTTATTTTTTGTGTAGAAAAAGACCCTCTGGGCGTATGCCTGGATATGACCTCAACTTTTTTATTGTGTCAAAAGTGGGGGGGGTGGGCGTTTGCCCGGGCATGAGCTTTTAGCCGGGTAAATATAGTATATGTGCAGTAACATGCTCAGTAATGCAAAACTTGAATTCGGCCCAAACTGCCTTAACTCATATTTTCACATTTGATACTATAATCATGTATGTTGGATTCACCGTAAGTAAAAGTTACAGTCAAATTATGCCCATAGATGTGTGTTGTCACCAACATACAGGCCATGTTTGGCATTATGCCTTATGTGGTCAAGTCAATAAGGGGCAAGTTATAAAGTTAGCATAATTCACAGTGGATTCAACTACATAGTGATGCATCTACAAATCACCAAATGGTCCAGTAGAAATTTAAAAATCATATATTTATGGGCAGCAGAATGGAAATCCTAAAACAACTTAAGTGTTAGTAAATAAATATACCTATCTCACAGTTTCTTCCTGAATAGCCCTCTAGACAATCACAATTATACAGTTCTGGTTCAGTATTTGAACATGTTCCACCATTCAAACAAGGCTGCTGGGTACCACAAGGATTCAGGTCTGTGACAAGAAACACAATTCATGAATGGTTTAATATCCATAAAAGGTACATGTAAATGATATTCTGTATGTTTAAATCATGTATGTAGTTAAATCCTATAAACTGGCAATGAACTATATAATAATTAAAGTGTGCACAAATTTAAATACAGTGAAATCTGTGTGAATTAAACTCCCCAAAATTTGATGTGTTGATTAATCTCTTTTATTTGTGCAATTATCCTGTCGGCATATACCAGCTAAATTCATTTTTGAATTTCTCGTTCCGAAGCTGACAACTTTGGATTTTTGTAATACCATTGTGACTCAACATTCCTACAAAATCAGTCCTATTAGAGGGCACATTGGTTTGGACTATATCGAAGATTCTGGAATATGGTGAAAATTGACGAACAGTCAAGTATAATAGGGTACAATACAGTAATATGTTACCTTTATTACATAGCATTCCACCCCAATTAAGAGTGCAGTTACACTGCCAGGGACTTTCACATGTACCATGTTGACAACCTGGATATAGTCGACATCTATCACAGAGTTCACCTTGCCAACCAAAATGACAACTGTCAATGATAAAATATCAAATACTCACAATCTTGTATACAGAGATTGATATGAAGTGGTTTTCGAACACAGCCTATGAATCTTGTATCAACCTTTAAATTAAATATCTTTCCCACATCTCTGGCTCATCCATCATCATTGAATGAATGAATGAATGAATGGAATGAATGGAACGAATGAATGAATGAATGAATGAATGAATGAATGAATGAATGAATGAATGAATGAATGAATGAATGAATGAAGTGTAATGGAATTTATTCTATGGAATGAGAGTACAGTGAAGACAAACTGATACTGAAAGTAAGCCCTCTGGTGGCCAAGATGCAATTTCTTTTCATTTTTCTAGTGCCAAAACTGTTCATTAACATTGTTTACAGCAATTAATTTATTCATGAACACACAGGCATATACTCATTACTGGCCAATGAAAGAGGTGGATTAATAGTACAATGTAAATGTAGTGGGCAATTATGCCATGCATGGCACAGTCCCTGTTAGTTATCAAATCTAAGATAGTTGGAACATAAACTTGTCAGAGATATTGATCCAGAAGCTAATGCTTGATTATGATGATTTTATAACATTAAAATGTTTGACATTTAGTCATCTTGTATCTGATTGTCAAACAAGTACTTTTCAATATTGAGAGATACTGCTCTGGGAAAGCATTTTGAATCGGATCATCAAACCAATACATCTGTACATCTATGACATGATGTATAATTTAATACATCAAATTTGAACACAATCAGTCAAAGCCTGTCAGAGATGTGGCACTTGAACAGCATTCATCAAAACAAAATGGCTGCCAGTCAGCCATTTTAAATCCGATCTGAAAAACAAAATGTCCTACATCAAGGTCCCATAATGTCGAATGTATGTTTGAACAAAATCCATCTGTAAACAGTCGAGATCCGGTTCTGGAATGCCAGAAATGCTTGATTTTGATGATTTTTCAGCACACAAATGGCCGCGATTCGCCCATCTTGAAACAGATCGAAAAACAAATTGATGTGCATATGTATAATATCATGCATAATGTATGTGTTAAGTTTGCTTTGGCTTTTTTGTGGATTTGAGGTATTTAATTTGGAACTGGTCATTCAGTAGCACAAAATATTAATAGAAGAATTTCAGAAATGAACAAAATACATTTTTTCAGTAAAAATAAATGTATACATTGCCATAACAATCACTTGATGGTTAGATTAAAAGCAATATAAACAAATATGAGGAAGTATTACTAATATGTACTTTACGGTAATTAATGCATGAACAAGAAGGTTGATTATAAAAATGAGCAGTCTGTACACTGGATGATGCCTTGTTTTGGTGATTTCATAAATAATATGCAAATATTTTACATACGACAAATAATTCTGGTCTGTTGCAGATTTTGAAAAAATCAAAAATATCACTTCGTGACCTAAAATGAGCAGCTATTATTAAGTCATCTTCAATGAGAGGAGAGCGGTAGTGGTCTTAGTACAACAAGCTTTGCATTTTGTGTAAACAAACAATGTATTTTACATGTGTTGCCTACATGTATGTCACATAGACCCATATGTAACACAACAAAAGGTTAACAGAAATGTCAATTGAACAATGAATGCCAACAGACATGATTCAGTTAGAAGTAGGTTCAAACACAACACTGTATCTTAGCCACAACTCCTATACATCATGCCTTTAAATTAATTCGTCAGTACTCGTATTTATAAGGTTATGGATTGATTAGGGCAAGCAAATTCTTGATGTTATATTTTATAATGCCATGTAGTTAAAGGTTAATAAAAGGAGATGCTCTGATATCTACTAGATAATCATAAAATCCATTTACAAAACAAAATAGATTAGAACTATGAATGGCAATCTTACATATATACACAAGCAGCTGATTGAAAACAACAAGCACAAACAATTTTAGTAAAGATTGTAAGGCCAACTAATAATCAAGACAAATAGAAACACTTACTTGTGATAGGAAGCACACCAAAATAACACAGTATCGTATTTGAAAACTCTTAACTAGAAGGTATCTCTATATTATACTGACCTTTATATGATTTACTGAACATCTCAAAAATAAATTAGTAAAAAGATGAATTATGGTAAATAAAATATTTACATTAAATTGTTGCCAGTCACAATGTGAATACCAAGAGACACATGTTTAAATCATAGAAAATTTCATAACCTTCAGCTATTGAATGTCAAGTCACATATGACACTTGTAATTTACTGAAACCAGACAGTCTATGCATACATACATTGTGGTTTTAAATAACAGAGATAAAAAGACAATTTTCTGTACTATTTTATTTGAACTGGTATTTATTGGAGTGTATTAAGAACATTTGGGAATTGCGATTTTTGAAGGGGTTTATTATCTTATAGCCAACAGATAAATGCTTTAAGTGATTAACACAGCTAGAAAATATTATACACACAGTCCTTATAGACTGAAGTAGTCACTGAAATAGGCTGAATAAGAACTTGATAGCAATTTAACTAGATAGCTTGAGATAAAACTCTATTGGAATTCACTGCAATATTTCCCACAGCTATATCTTACAACTGACCTCATTATTGTCTTTTTATCAACTAGTTGTATAGCTTCTCTTAAGGCAGGCCAAACCATAGTTTGTGCTTGACTGAAAGAGTGTTATGTGTGTGGGAGTTTACATTCTTGAGATTATCAAGTCTGCATCACCCCCTCTTGAGGTCAACTTTTGCTGTATTACGCAAACTAAAGACATCAAACTATTTATATGTCATGTATTTGATAGAGGATTCCTGGGGGCCTTGAAACTGACTATTTATATGCTGTGTATTTGATAGAGGATTCCTGGGGGCCTTGAAACTGACTAATTATATGCTGTGTATTTGACAGAGGATTCCTGGGGGCCTTGAAACTGATTATTTATATGCTGTGTATTTGATAGGGGATTCCTGGGGGCCTTGAAACTGACTATTTATATGCTGTGTATTTGATAGAGGATTTCTGTTTTTTTTTACAGCCATCTATTTACAAGTATAAGCCAGAGAATTGCTGGAGGGTCTTTAAGCTGATTTGTTTTTTCATATGCCAGATTGCTTTGAGAGTGATTCACTTATGAGTATTTCTAATGACCATTATTATTTGATAATGGGAGTGACTAATTATTTGCCAAAACTGAATTTATCTGGGTAATTATATCGGCATGTGAAAGAACCATCAGTAATTTTTATACATTATGGAAGAAATATCTGGCAAGCACTGGCAAACCTGCTTCTTCAAATATCAAGGGGTAAGCATGCAACTATACATTTAGATAACAAATTAAGGAGTTTATGTCTGTCATTATTTCATTGATAGTATTTCAATATAAAAATAAATAATGCACTTGACATAACAAACTGGAGTAGACTTATAAAAAGTTGTTGTCTGCAATAAAGTGTACAAAATAGTAGCATGTACTTTTTTCAAGCCAATCAGTCAAGTACCTGATATTTTGCAAGGCAGGGTATCTCTAATAAAATGGAAGCTAAATCAACACGTATTATTACAAATTGCTTTTTTCCACTAAACTGATCATTGATGGGCTGTAAAATAATCTTATTTTTAACCTATTCGTTAATAAAGCCATTATTTTTTTAATGTGTTCATCCACATCATGCTGGACTATGTACCCTAATAATATATGTGTACCAAGCTTCATTCAATTTCAACCATTTTAAGTATTTCAAGATAAAAACTTAAATCAAAGAAAGCTTAGAAAGAACTCCCGTGTGCTGAGAGTATTGAAGACACATTAAAAATTAATTCAAAATTACTTGTACATGAGATATTGATGGAAAAGCTGAAAACTAATTATGTAAATCAGAACAGAACAGAACAAAAAAATTATGAATTATTATGCTAATTAGAGAATTAATATGAACAAATTTTAACCCAAAATTAATCAGGCCTGTCTATTGTCCTAGAGCATTTATGTAGCAAATTTTATTCAAATGTGATGATCAGTAAGTCAGATAACAGTGTTAATTAATTACGTTAATTAGGTGATTAATAAGCATAAATATTTACCAAAAAATAATTGGGTCTCTGCATAGTTCTAGATTCATTGTAATGTGATGAGTACTCTTTAAAAGTGTCATTAAAATCAAATTCGTGGCTTTTTATATATCAGTGGAACATTCAGGGCACAAATTAACTAATTATGCAAATTAGATAATCAATATCCACAATTATTACCCTAAAACTAATCAGGTCTCTGCATAGTCCTAGAAGATCTATGTAGCAAGTCTCATTGAAATATGATGATTAGTACTTGGAATATCAAAAGCTGAAAATTAATTAATTATGCAAATTAGGTAATTAATATGCACAAATATTTACCCAAAAACTAATCAGGGGTTTGCACAGTCCTTAAAGGGGAAGTCAAGCCAAACAACACAATGACCCCCAAAGAAAAAGCTCCACAAATGTAGGAGAATGCAATTTACAATTTTTTTATATCACTTTTCATTCTCTAGATATTCAACATTTCATCAGTATTATGTAGTATTATGATTCTCAAGCAAAGGATCATGGTTAAAGTATGACATCACAGAGTCTGTTGTCATAAATTGAGAAAATGATTTCATCTATAACATGGGGAATACTGATGCGAATTAGTTCAAATTTTTGTTATGCATATAACTCTTGTATATGATTATAGTAATGTAAATTAGAATGTTACAAATACACATAAAGTGAAGATATTGCCAAAAACGTTAAAAAAATAAAAATCTTTATTTTCGTTGTGAAATATAGAATGACACTTTTTTGTCCACTTTTTATGGTCAACAAGTAATATACATGTATCACCTATATAACCTACTCACAACGATAAATTGTATACAATATAAGGAAATTTGAGCATTTGGTAGAAAAACATAAAAATAAATATTTTCAGTTCTGTTTCCATGACAACTATTTTATAAGCACATGTATGCTACCCTGTTCTAAACT